CCGTTGGGGCCTGTATTGTCTGGGATGAAGGTACAGCATGTCATAGTATCAGGGAGTATTTTACACATGCCCCCCTTTTCTGCTAGGATCATGTTTAAGGCCATTCGATTCTGAAATGTCATTTGGGAGGTAGTCTGTAACTGTTCTGCCAAGCCCTGAAGGGCATCTCTAGTATAATTGACAAATCGTTGCTGGTTATAGTAGATATAATTGATCCAGTTAACATTCTTGTTAGAGGTTATGAGTGGGATCAAGGATTAGAATCCTGCCTCCACCTCATCTCTGGCCTTGAACTCATTTGGTACCCCCCTTGGTACTCCATAGGCATCGATATATATGTGTGGGTCGAAACTACCTTGAATGGGGGTTTCTCTTTTTACTCTAAGATACGTGTGTGGGGAATCGTGTGGGCCTTGGTGGTTATCAGAAATTATATGTATGGGTATGATAACTTTGGTCAGAGTACATTCCCCCCACCACAGGCCAGTCATTTTTAATCTGAGCTGCATGTCACCACACAGCCAATAAATGTCTGCCACGGACTTAACTTGATTTACTAATAGGGCAGTGGGAGGTTCTCGATAAGTGGTACAGTAGCCAGAAGGGAATTTACCTACAAATTTACCTGTGGCTCCATGTATTGTGTAGCAAGTTCAGTTACCTGGGTACACGGTGATTCCATCAGGTGGCCTGATATTCCCTTGGGTTATTGGGTAAACCTTTTTCCATGATTAATTCACTGCTGACTGCGCATAGAGGCTTAAGAAACACATCTCAACATCTGGAGGTAGATTTAAAGGCACTGTACCCAGATGGGGTCTGGCCCCACCACAAACATAACAGTGTTGTTGTGTGAATTAGCATTATACCTCATCCATTCAAGCCATAGATTAGTATCTGAAAACCCGGTCTCCTCAGCCATAGTGTCTTCAAATATGGGATTGGCAATGGCTACCATGTCTTTAAGGGTTTTAATGTATGGTTTTAGAGGGTTAATGGTCATGTGTGTGGAGTCTACCCAGTCAGGTGACGTAAGCATGTCTTGTAAATAGAAGCTCCCCAACTTGTTGTATGAGCCACCCCCTTTCCAATACATTCCCATTACGTACTCCCCAGCGTATCCTGGGCTGGGATGTTCTATGTTTAAGGTGAGCTTCATTGGGGTAGACCCTGTTGGCTTGCATAAGGTCATTCTGTATAACAAGGGTTTCCCATATCTGTCAATCCTATCTAAGGCACTTTGTGGTCTGTAGCCCCATAGTCGGCCCCTATTCCAACCCTGCTTTCCAGGTACTACAGTGATGTCCCCAATGGTCACCTGTCACACAAATATATGGGTCATTTGTGTTTGGTATATCTTTGTATATTGCTGAGTGTTGTGATTGTGGAAAAGTACAAGAGAAAATATCACAGTAATCAAAGGTGAAAGTAGCTGTGTGTGTTTGAAGAATTATACCAGAATGTGTAAACATGATTGTCTTTGGTAATAGCAACTTGTTGGGCCTTCGATAGGCCTAGCAGCAGAAATAGGCACAGGAAGCTCATGATTTGGCAGAATCTGCTTCCTCTGGATCAGGAACTTTCTTGCAGTGCGAGGCATGTATCCAGGTATTCTTCCCGGCCAACTTTACAGAGGTAGATGTAGTCAATAGGACTTGGAATGGACCATCAAACCTTGGCTCAAGAGTATGTTTTCTTAGGAACTTCTTGATCATGACCCAGTCATCAGGAAGTAGCTTATGTGTGCCTGTATTTGACTCTGGATCTGGAATAGAAGAAAACACCTGTGCATGGATTTTGGTCAAGGCATGGGAGAGTGCAGTTATATAATCTACCATTGCATCTTGCTGTTCCAAATAAGATTTCGTAGGGGGATAAGCTAAACCTCCCTCTTGGGGTGTACCTTACACTAAACAGTGCTATGGTAAGACTCTCCGGCCAGGGTAGGTTAGTTTCTTGGGACATTTTAAGCATTC